GTTCCGGAAAAAATTATATGCTTTTATTGATCATTAGCATTATTTTCGGCTTATTTAACCATTTCCAATTATGGTGTAGCCTCCCTCACGTATTTAGATACTCTCTGTGGAGTTGGGCCCATTGTTGTCTATTGTTGGCTATGCGGGTCCAAGTTATCCGTGCTAATTTCCTAATATCATGGTCAATTCTCAGGTTTAGTCTTCTTCAAGGTCTCTTAATTCATACCACGCTGTACTTTTTCTGCTACCCACTGATAAGATGTTTGGGCTCCATTTTCCCTACAGAATCTGCATTCCCTGTTATTTTTTAGCTTCAGTCTACTAAGGTGTTCTTTGAGGAGACAGGATTTTGTTGAAAACGTCGTGACAATCCGAAGACTGTTCCTACTTAAATCAAGAAAGTGTATTTTAGTGTTTTAGACCGATGGAGGATTCCCATTTCAAGTTACGGATATCCAGGAGTCTTCCAGGCTTTTAAGTTCTGCTTTAACAATCGAGGGCATCGGGAATTTTGTGCCGCAATTTTATTAATTTCATTAATACAAAATATCCATTGGACGTAGGTCCGTGGTGCCATTAAATATTCTTATATAAGGATATTTGACATAGTAGTTGCGTATCCAGCGATTTTGGTTCAGTAGCAATTCTGCTGCAAACCTGGTAACTACAAGTATGGTTTGGTTTGGCAGTACTTCGTGCCGCTATTCTCCCGGTTATGTAAGTAAAATAATTATCATATAATTCAATTATTTCGCTTTATTTGGTATAATTTTGAATAGTTAATTAATTTTTTCGATTGCTTTTATAATAATCTGTTAAATATATGTTATATAACCTGTAGTAATGATGGAAAAAGCCAGTATACAAACTTTTCCCAGATATCTCCAAGTTTTCCTCGCTAAATATGCTCCAGAGGGAAAGGTACTAGTTAGAGACAATAAGAAGCGAGTTGGTCCCTGCCATGTATGTGAAACTCTTAAAACTACTAGTTTTTGCAACTATTGCAACAAATTTGTTCGCAAACACTACAGTAATAGCAAGTATCTATATAGTGTAGTCTTTGGTGATAGACTAATCAATTGTATTACCGGTAGATATCTATACTAATATATAAAATCCTTAAGTGACTGACATACTGATTAATCACGATCCTGCTCAAACCACTCAACGTAAGAAGCTCAATTTTGGCATACAGGTTGCTTCTAGGGTGTAGAGGTTCGATAAGAAGGGATTTTTCGAAATTCCAGTTCCAAGAGGGTGAAACCACCCCTCAAATATTACAATATTTTTTATTTAAAAAACGGTCAAGTTTCCGAAAAAACGCTTAAATACGTATATTTTATTTTGTTTTTTTTACATATTTTAAGATTTTTTAAAAATGGGTGTTTCAAAAAATCTGGTCATTGATTAATCACGATTCTGCTTAAAGCGCTTGACGTAAAAAGCTGATTTTTGGTTTGATACCGATAAGAAGGGATTTTTCGAAACTCGAATTCTAAGGGAGTGAAACTATCCCTCAAATATTAAAATATTTTTTATTTAAAAACCGGTGAGTTTTTCGGAAAAACTCTTAAACACGTATATTTTATTTTGTTGTTTTACATATTTTAAGATTTTTTATAAATTTATACAGGCTGTTTCATAAAATATGATCATTGAGTAATCACGATTCTGCTTAAACTGCTTGACGTTTAAAGCTGATTTTTGGCACACGGATTGCCTGTGGGGTGTAGAGGTTCGATAAGGAGGGGTTTCTCGAATCTCAAATTCCAAGAGGGTGAAAACGCCCCTCAAATATTACAATATTTGTTATTTAAAAAGTGTGGTTAGTAGTTTGTTATTTAAAAAGTGGTTAGTCTTTGGGGAAAACGCTTGGACAAGCATAATTTATTTGTTTTTTTACGTATTTTGAAATTTTTTCAAAAATCATACAGGGTGTTCAAAAAAGTTGGGTAATTTCTTAACCACGATTCTGCTTAAACTGCTTGACGTAAAAAGCTTATTTTTGGCAAACGGATTTTTCGAAAGTCAAATTCCAACGTGATGAAACTACCCCTCAAATATTATCAAGTTATATAATATATCGTCATATTGTTTTTTCTCATGCTGACATAAATGCGAGAAAATTTTATCCAGTTTGTATGTTAATGGCAATTCTTGGTTTGCTTTATCATCACCATTACAAATGATTAATTCGACGCGAACGAAGTCGCTGGTACACGCTAGTCTATCTATAAAAGAAGACCAAACATTTAGATGATATAGTCTGTGAAATGAATAACTTTGAATTTGACAGTTCCCGCGGGCTTTTTTAGTGTTTATTTTATTAAGTTAGCAACTTGCAGCCATGCTGATGCAATGCCGTCTCTAATAGAACAGCCCCTGAGCGGGATTTATGACGTCACGCTAGTTAGATACTACGGATTAATAAATATGTTGTAGAATACATGGAAAACATAATTATTGTTCGTATTTTTGGTTTGTATTTGAAAAACAAACTTTGATTTTAAAATACAAACCAAAAATACGAGGAATAGTTATGTTTTCCATGTATTCTACAACATATTTATTAATCCATAGTATCTAACTAGCGTGACGTCATAAATCTCGCTCCGAGGCTGTTCTATTAGAGACGGCATTGGTCTGATATTTAGAAATGTCAAAAGCTGATGACATTTTACCTTTGACAATTATGACATTTTGGGTTGATTTTTGAAAGAAGAGGAAAAACTGTCACTTGTTTTATTATTTTCCTTTTCTATTTCACGAGAGTTACCTATCTGATTCGTTCAGGCACTGAATTTAAAGAATATCAGTAACTTTTTTGACAGAGGGATTTTATATTTGCCGTGTTGGTAAGAAATAACGGTCAAAATTCAAAGTTATTCATTTTATAGACTATAGTTTCATCTTCTTCCAGTGGTTAAGAATATTTTTTTTAATATTTAAAAGTTTCTGTTTGGTTTATTTTATTATAATATGTTCGGTAGGATTAAGTTTTTGTGAGTTGGCAAAGTAATTTTTTTTTTATTTTGAATATTAAAAATGTTTCGTTCGGTGCCTCTTTTTATATTACCTTTAAGTTTGGTTTTAAGGGTTAAGAGACTTTTAGTTTTGTTTTTAGTTTTAGTGTGGAGGACTTTATTTTCTTTGCCTAATTTGAAGAAAAATACAACTCTATCAATGAATAGGCTAAAATAATCAAATTTTCCTCAATAATCCGCTTTTCCTCTGGATTACCGTTCGAAAAAAAAAACGTACGTTAACCTGCAAATTAGTAAATCTCCCTGTCTCGGACTTCTCGGCGTCTCGTCACATCTCAAATCCTGCCATAATCCACGGACCACGTTTCGGACCTTTTGGGCGCCCCACTTCGTAAATAATTAAACAGGGGACCAAACTCTAAGCCGGTGGAAAAATTTAATTTCCTTTTTAGCGCCCTCTGTGTTTCACCGTCGTCATCATCCGTTGTTATCGCCAGTGGACAGCCATATTTTTTCCATACGGCTTTTCAGTTTTTTTTTGGCATCCCCTTTTTTGAGTTGAAAATTTAATCCGGAGTTTAAGTAAGTAAAAATAGCTTTTACCACACTTGCTTTATATTGAAATATGTAAAAAATCATACACTTTATACCTTTGGGACTATTATTAGAATTTTCATTTTGGGATAATCCGTTTATTTAAAATATATTTCTTTAAAAAATTCAAAACATCTAGTTTTATGACACTCTGCATACATAAATAATTATTGATTTTTAAAATATTATTAGCAAACTAGGGAGAGGGAAATGAGACAAAGAACAGAGTTGGGGATAGGTGTTAGGTAATTGCTTTTGGATTACCGTTCGAGACGCATTGATGTTATTTTGGGTTTCTAAGTTTTGGTTATTGCGACAAAGAATGTTATTAAAGGTGAAGTAAATGTTTCTTTTCATTATTTAACTAATGTTAACTAAAACATATACCGGGTGCGTCTCAAAACTGGTTCGCCTCTCTAACTTTTTTATATTTTCAGATACAAAACGAGATTTGGTATGCTAGTATATGACATAAATTAGGATTGATCGATCGGTCACTTCCTGTTTCACCGGAAATGACTACCTTTACTACTTTTGATTTTTAAATGACACCCTCGGTATTTTTTCACTTTATGCCATATAGAAAATGATACTCTGATTAGAATGACATATCTTATTTCAACGTTTGACATTTTCCCATATGGTCCATTTGAAATTGTAACATGCGGTTCACAACGCTAATTTGACTCGAAATACCAAGTGTGTGGTACCAAATTATTAGTAAAAAGATACTTTTCCAAATACGCTAATGAGCCACCCTGGTTCTATTTGAAAAAATTTAGTTATGATGAAAAATACGGTTCGGGCATCTTTTAATCGGCCAGAACAAGATACGAAAAACATTAGACGATCAAATCCATTTTTTCAAGGCTCCTTTATTAAAAATTAATGTTTTTAACACAACCATGGCACTCTAGATTGAAATTTAAAATACGATAATATATATTTTTTCACAAGAATGTCAAAAGTTGATATATGCTATGTCATTCTATTCAGGGAGTCATGCTCTATCGAATAAAGTAGAAATATACCAAGAGTGCCATTTAAAAATCAAAAGTTGTAGTTATTTCCGGTGAAACAGGAAGTGACCGAATACAATTGAATACGTCAATCAATCCTAATTTTTGTCATATACCTACTAACATACTAAGTCTTATTTTTTTAACTGAAAAATTAAAAATGTAATAGGGGTGAGCCACTGTTGAGACGCACCCGATATTTTATTTTTCTGTTGTAATATTCTGTGGGCTAAATACAGGGTGTCCCAGAAATAAGTGCAAGTATTGTAAGGGGTATTATTTGATCATCAGCGAAACAAACAATAATGGCTCAAGACTACGAGGACCTGGAATATATGACCCACAAACTAATTGAAGAGTATAACAAGTGGGGGCTGGAGGTAAACTTAAGAAGACGGAATATATGTGTATCGGCGGCGAACAACAGAACATAATCCTAGAACAGCAACAGCAAGAGATAAAACACTGCCAAAAATATAAATATCTTGGCATGCACATTACCAACGATGGTAGCCTTGATGAAGAAATTAAGTGCAGAAACAACCAGCGAAGACAAGCGATTAGACAACTCAACAGTAATTTAAGGGATAAGGCCGTATAAAAAAAAAACATAAAATTTATAACAACATAGTTAAAAGTATCATTAGTTATGGTAGTGAAGTATGGCTTTTGAAAGAAAGAAACCTTAAGTTACTCGAAGCTACAGAAATGGACTTTTGGAGGTGTACGGCCGGAAAATCGAAACTGGATAGAGTTAGAAATGAAAGAATTCAGAACATCATGGGCGTTAAACACAGAATATCAGAAGACATCAAAATTAACCAACTCATGTGGTACGGGCACGTACAAAGAATGGAAGAGAGCAGAATCCTGAAAAAATACTCAATTGGACACCACAAGGCAAACGAAAGAGAGGGAGATCTAGACGGAGTTTGAGAGAAGGAATAGACGAGGACATCAGAACAAGAGGAATAGACGAAAACCTCTGGACAGACAGAGACCAATGGAGACTGGAAATCAGAAAACGGCGAAGAACGTTATAAACTAATTTGTATATATATATATATATATATATATATATATATATATATATATATATATATATATATATATATATATATATATATATATATATATATATATATATATATATATATATATATATATATTTTAAGGGGTGTAGATATCGATAAAAGAAACATATTTTTTCTTTATTGTTTTTCAAATAAGTCCAAAATAACGGGGTTATTTTACTTTAAAAATTAAAAAAAATATATTTTTTGCTAATATTTTGAGAACCACTGGAACTTTTCTGGATTTTCGTTCTTGTAAATTTAATCTAATACCTATGTTGCCAAATTATCAAGAAATTATGTTTTTTAACTAAAAACTAAAAAAATTTCAAAAAATGTTTCGAAAAATTTCGAATATCCAATTTTTTTTCGCGAAAAAAACCTCATAGGCGTTTTTTTCTAGGGTTGAACTACTACCAGTTATAATACTTGCACTTATTTCTGGGACACCCTGTATTTTCTTTATTTATTTCATCTGACAATTATAATAATGCTGTAAATGATTTCAGTTTAAAAGTAATACAACTGTTTACTGTTCATTCGTACCGATGATGGTTTTGGTTCAGTGTGAAAATAAGGGCCTTGTTCAGTATACCAATATTTTTCTACGTGACTGGGCGAATATTTTAGCAAAAAAATTAATGAGCAACCAAGAACAATAAATAGAATAACCCTAAAGAGATACATTCGCTGCGAATGCACGTCCACACCCGCGATTGCGAAGGAATGCAAACGAATTTACCATTCGTTCGTCAGGTCTGTTCACGAACTTTTTTTGACAGACACACGGCAAAAAATACCTAATTTTTCCTCTCAGTTTTTAATTCTTTGACACGCCAACGCGGTAACTTTCGTCCCAAATTTATTTGCATAAATTCTGCCCATCTCTGCATAGGCGCGCTGCGATTAAACATATGACGCGCTAACCTCGTTTGGGAAATAATAAAAATTAAACGTGGCGCCCTTTGAAGAATTAAATTCGTTGCAGGTTTAACGGAATTTGTCGAAAAATGCGCTCGGGCTTTCGGTTAATTTCGTTTTCCAAACGGGGCCGAATAATAACGAACGCTGTGTACGTCAAAAGGAATTCCGGAATAGTTTTGCGCGACTGTCGACATGCGACGCATCAGGAAAGGGATTTAGAACTGGCTCTGCCGACTCTAAAATAATTGCTTATTAAATTTTTATAACGGGATGATATTTTCGTGATTTGGTTTTATACTCTTTTTATACTGGGTGTCCTAGGCCAATATTAGATTGTATATTGTGTGAGAGGAGGGAAGTTAATATATGTTCCCGTCATCCCTTCGTGGGATATAGGGATTCTAAGAGATGTTTCCATCTGATCCTATTCCCCATGTTTTCCCAATCTCTTGGGCTTCAGAGGTTACTGTTCTTCTCCAGGTCAAAGTTTACAGAATAAAATATAAGTTCGGTCACTTAGCATCGGCACTTTGAAAATCGCGTATCAAAAGCCAGAAGCCGCCTCGTCCGATACGCCGGATTTCGATGAAAACAGGAGTGGAAGCCGGGGGTAAATAGAAACCGCATTTTTACCGATCGCAAGGTACGACAAGGTGCAGGGGAACGTGGGGTATTTCAAAATCACTTTATTGGTGTATTACATATAAATATTTAGACATGGCAAGATAAAAAAGATATAGCAAAAATAAAATAAATTTTAAAAACAAACACAAAAAATAAAGCTACACAATATCAACAGCAAATAACGTAAAAGTATATTACATAACGAGTGTTTTGGAAAAAATAATATTACGCACGAGTGCAGTATTCCATGAGTGTGTAATATGGTTTTCCAACACGAATTACGTACACTATAAAATTCAAAGCTGAAACTATTAAATGTCAACAACTTTTGATGTTTAAATGGTATCCTCGGTATTTTTTTACGTTATTCGATAGAAAATGATACTCTGAGTAGAAAGACATATCATATGTCAGCTTTTAACAGTTTCACATATGATTTATTTGAAAGTGTAACACGCGGTTTATAACGACAATTTGACTCGAAATACCAAGTGTGTGGCATGAAATTATTCGTAAAAAATACTTTTTCCAAATATACTAATGAGCCACCCTCTTTCCATTTGAAAAAAATTAAGATATGGATATGGTTAAAAATACAATTTGGGCATCTTTTAACCGGCCAAGACAAGACATGGAAAACATTAGACGATCAAATCTATTTTTCCCAGGGCTCCTTGATTTTTGTTTTTGTTTTTAAAAGAGTATAGCTATGACATTCAATATTGAAATTTTACAAGATTTTTTTAAGCTAGAATGCCAAAAGTTGACATATGATATGTCATTCTATTCAGAGTGTCATTTTTTATCGAATAAAGTAGACAAATGCCGAGGTTGCCGTTTAAAAATCAAAAGTTGTAGTCATTTTCCGTGAAACCGAAAGTGACCGAAAAAAATTGAAAACGTTAATCAATCCTAATTTAGGTCATATACTAACACACCAAATCTTTTTTTATCTGAAAAAATAAAAAAGTTATAGGGATAAGCCACTTTTGAGACACACCCAGTATATGATTTTTCGTGTAAAAAAATAAAGTGTTCTCTTGAATAATTCTAATTAGATATTTTAAATAATTTTTTTTCCAGTGGCGAAAAACTCAATATTATTTTTAAGAAATAATAAAAATAATTATGCTTTTTTTATAATAAACTAATAAATAATTAACTAAGGCTAATGTGATCAGTAACATTTTGCAATGAAAATTAAATAATCACTTGAAAAATAATTCCATATGCATGCGAGACCACTCTGTAATAACGCCAAAATCAGAGTAATACGCCGAACGTGATCCGCCGTGTATGCTGGGTCCAAAGTCCACACACCAGTAATACACTGGGAAACACGTGCGTGAAGCAGCTTTTGATACCTGCCGCCGGCACAAGTGACGGAACTTATATTTTATTCTGTAAACTTTGTCCAGGTATTCTTGTGGTCTTTCACTGGCACGTCTTCCCTGTGGATTCCATTCAAGTGCCTGTCTTGCGATATCTCTGTGAGGTCTGCGCAAAATGTACCCAATCCAGCCCCACTTTCTTTTCTTAATTTCGATATCTATTTGATTTTGTGAGAAATTTTTTTGCAACTGGAGTAAAGGCAGATTTACACAGACTCACTGGTAGGGCAGCACTGTCATGACAGTGCCACTATGTAAACATTTTTTTGCCTGTTCGGCGCTGTCTGCCAGTGCTGGACCAAATAGAGAGCGCGTCTATTTTTCGTACCAGTAGCCTTCTAACCCCGCGCCTACGTTGTAGGTATCCACAACGTAGGCGCGGGGTTAGAGGGTTTAGACGTATATCTAAACACGTCGTGACAGTCACTGGCGTACCTAGATATTGGCACCCGCCGCGCCGTTGGCGTACTTCCGTAGTTTGTTGTTTAAATATTTGTCTTCTATGGTTTTTTGTATGGTATATTATGGAATTTGTAGTACAATGACCAGAAAACTATCTGAAAACGACACTCTCAAGCTTATTCGGCTTTATAGAGAGCAAAAATGCTTGTAGGATATTAAAATATAGAAATAAACAAATGCGTACATCGGCGTTAGAAAAAAAATCAGAAATTGAAGAAATAGGAGTTAGTATGGATAAAAATAAAGCCAAAATAAAGAATATTAGAAGTACATAATATTTAGAAATACACAATTTAAAAAATACAAAATCTGGTGCTGAAGGAAACATCTATGAACCTAAAGTAAACGCCAACATGTATTCATCGAGATTTTTTAATTCATCGAGACAATTTTAATTGTCTCAAGAGCAAAGTCGAACCATAATAACGACTCCCTAATAGAAACCCATAATAAAATCTCCAAAAATAACATAGATATTTTACCAAATAGATATCCTCACAACTGACCACAGATAAAAAAGCTTTCAACTAACTGGATTCGTATAAACAACTAGAGCCAGTTCTTCCTGAGTCAAGAGCTGGCGTACCAGTGAAACTGCCATCACCTACTGTAAACGTTTAAACGACAAGCTCGCGTCAGCTACTACTGGATATGTGTAGATCTTCCTTAAAGTATTAAAATCCTTGATAATACATTACAATTTATAACATTAATGTTCAGTGGTAATTATAGTAATAAGATAATTACAAAAAACTATTATTTTAAAAGTTTTAAAATATTATAATTCTAAAACTTTTTATTTGCGGAACTCAGTTTATAAGAACTTAGTTTCATTTTTGTATGACAGAAAATGATTTTATAAACTAAAATCCTATCTAACTAAAGCTGTACTAATGCTACAGGCTATCAGAAAATTATCTTGTTCCGTTTATAAACACGCCTGGCTAAGTATACGAGTCCATTACAGTTACAGGGTACTGCAATTTCCAAATGGAAATTACAATCAACTCGGCGCACAATCCGAATTAACTTTCATGCACCGCGCCAAATATCTCATTGACAATTAAATTTTGCCTGATAGCGGCCAATAACAAACAACATTATCGGAGAGCCTGCCCGCTCTAGCCAGGTTTGTTATTCTTGAAAGCGTCGACATCGACATCAGCCAAATCTGCATTCGCTTCGTTCGGTTTAACATTTGGGTCGTTCCATGGTAAGTGGTGGAAACTAGTTGGAGTAGCTGGTCGAAATTACAAGGAAGAAATATTTCTACAATCATACGTTTTAGCCATCTAGTAGCGTAGAGTATGGTTTTTAAATTTATCGCATTTTCATGCCTCCGTGTATCGGATATACGATTTGCTTGTGATTGATGTCATTTTATATTTTCATTTCCATGACGATTTCGCTGTTTTACTTATATTCTAAGAGCTAGCAACGTTTTCGAGAGAGAATTTTGAAA